TGCAGATGTCCCGCTTTGGCCATCACCATCTTCTCAGCTCCATTCACTTTTTGCCTACGTTGACCTCACTCCTCCGAGCAACCCTCGGTGACAAGCTCTAGACATCCACCAAGTGTTCACCAAGTGCTCACCATTGCCTTCTTCTCCATCAGCCAGAAAAAGCAGTTCAGTGCTGTGCAAATTCAAGCTGCAATTTTTTTTGTTCAGTGCACGTGCGTTTGCCCGCTGAGATGGCAGCTGTGTGTGTTTACCTTTTACAACGTTTGATCTGTTTGCCTTGAACAACTGCTGTAAGTACACCTCTGCTTCTATTCGGTAAACTACTTACTACATTTCGACGAGTCAACTGTTTAAATTCTTTACTGTCGCATTGAACGAAAATGCGGAACTTTCATCTTTCTCCTCTGGTGTGCCTTGGCGTGCAACAATCGTCAGAGAACTGCTCATGTGCTACCTTAATGAGCTTCGCTTACCTTGGTTAGAAAGCTCTGCATGAAATTCGTTTTCATTCACAATTTTGACGACATTTCCCATTGCCATTAGTGTGTGAGGCCACCAGTGGCTTTTATTAGTCGGCCACTTTGCCAATCAACAACGAACACGTGTGCCTGTGTGCCTGTGTGTGTCTATTCTTTCGTTGCTGTGCGTGCACTGTTTCACCTGACTCTCCATCAGATTTTGCCGTCTAAATTCTGATAAGCACTGGCAGCGCTATTTGATTTGATTAAGTTAATTACCTCTCTTTTTTCAGTCCTGAATACGACTTCCGTAACTTGCTCCCTGTTTGCCAATTATAAAGTAGACCTTTAGTAGTGCACAGTTCTTGCGATCTTCTCCCATTGCCTCGTCAATGCCATTTCTTCGGCGCCCCTCCTGTTTACCTATCTACCCTGTTGCTAATTAGTTCAAACGTGAATGCCACGGTCTATCTTCATACTCGCTGAAAACGGTGGCTTTTAGAGTAAATAGGCAAAGGAATTTGCACTTGCATTTCAAGCCGACCCAACTAGCTTCAAGTGACGAGTGATCGATAACAAAAAGAATGAGACCTTTTAGCGTTAGCGAAAGTGAGCGCTTTGAAATAAAGTGCATCCTCAATGAAGGCGAGTCACCTGACCAAAATGAGAATGGCAGTCTACTAATTACTGTTGCTGTCCTTTACTGTCTCTGGGTGCTTAGTGGGCAATTAGAACGAAACTATTACTGACTGATCGCCTTATCTGCTGACCATGGTGGAAGGAGCTGTTCTAAATGGTACTTACCAAAAGTGTTCTTCGCTCTCTGCTGCGAAGCGTTGCTGGGTCACCACTTGCTCTGAAGACTGTGATCGGAATCTCTCTTTTATTTGCTTGGTTCAGCAATAAATTAGAGTTCAGGTGCGAATGATGTTGGACCCACAAGTGAAAGTGGTAACCAGGCTTGCTCATCTTGGCCAGACTTTGAATCTCGACAATTTATTGTCTTGACTGCGAGCACTTGCCATCACTGTCAGTAGATCACCATGCAATCACTGCCAGGCAGTATTATAAATAATGCGCTTACCTCAAGGATTGCAGACTTTGAGTCTCTCAGCACACCAGTCGTGCCTTTTGTGTCTACCGGCTACGGTTTTCTTTGTTTTCTCTCTTTGACGGTTCATCCTCACCGCGGTGCACTTGAAGGACAGACAGCACTGACGGTTCCTGCTATCGCTGTTCATCCTTGTTCGACAATTTAATATAATGCTAATTGCCTCTGTTGTCTGCGCTGCTCTGCTTTGGCCTTGTGCTGCTGCCAATGTGCCAGAGAAGTTCTCCTGGTGGTAATGGTCTGTGAATGATGCCACGGCTACTCGGAAGGAATTTACTCGAGTGTAGACATACTACTGGCTGAGGTGCTACCACCAGGTTACCATGATCTGATTTGAGGCACTCACTGCTAGGCGAACGAGCGCCCACCTGACCAGCCGCGTAAATGTGTGCCCCGAGAGACTCGTCCTGGCAGTCAGCTCCTGCAGCGGCATTCTTACGAGTATTTCAATTCATTTCAATTCATTTCCTTTGCTCACTTGATAATTATCTTGTTCTCGGTAGTTTCGAGGATTCCCTTCTTTTCTAACCGAGTACTAGTGTGTGCAACAAGTGCCTCGACTTGTAAACCTGAATCGACTACCTCCGTGCACATGTTTACATTGACCAGCTGAAGAGGCGACTGTAGAGTGGACTGCACTGACACCCTATAACCTTTAACCTTTCATCAAGTTTGTCGACACTCGGTTAAAGGTCGGGTAATGTCTGACGCAAGGGCGCATCATTAGCGTTCAGTGGCTCTTCTCATGGAGGCAAACTCATCGGCGGCCAGAGACGGCCAACTGTTTGCGCAGAGCAGATTTGACTGCTGGCGATCTCTTCTTTTTCAGAGCGAAAAAGAGAAAGAGAGATTGTTCTCTTGAGTAGACAAATAGCAGCTTTAATTAACTTTTATTCTGCTAGCATGAGAGGGGCACTCATTTGCACAAATGCGACTGTTTAGATAAATGCCACCAACTGCCAATTAAACCTTTGCACAAGTGGCCGTGCACGACAGCTGGTGCAAGCTGTTGCTGGCAAAATTAGCCAGCCGCTTGTGACTTTCACTACATCTTCCTACCGACGTCTGCGACATTGCTTTTTGCAAGCTTTAGTTTAGTTTTGCCTGTTTACTCCTAATTAAACCACTTGGTTTTTGTTTCGCTTTCCATTTTTCTTATAGACTTTCNCACAAGTGGCCGTGCACGACAGCTGGTGCAAGCTGTTGCTGGCAAAATTAGCCAGCCGCTTGTGACTTTCACTACATCTTCCTACCGACGTCGGCGACATTGCTTTTTCAAGCTTTAGTTTAGTTTTGCCTGTTTACTCCTAATTAAACCACTTGTTTTTTGTTTCGCTTTCCATTTTTCTTATAGACTTTTACCATATGCGAACAAACGGATTTCGCCGACCGTAAACAACGACCGTTAAAGACCTTTTTTGCTGATTTCAACTTGGTGACTACTATTCCGGCAATTTATTTAAACAACTTAGAAGCTGATCCAGTCTGGGCAATCAAAATGAAGCCACCTCGCCTTCCAGGCACTGAGCGCTTTCGGTTTTGTGACAAAAAGTTTGAGCAGTCGAAAGGAAAGCCGCCAGTGATCTGTGAAGAACAGCCCGATGGTGTAACGAGCACCAAACTGACGAGGAAGGACTCTTTTCGACTTCAGTTTCAAGCTCGTTCTTGTTCAAATGAATCACTGCTGTGCTCTTGTGGCGGTGATCACAGCCATACAAGTGCAGATTCGATTACCAATAGCGGCACCTCTTCCTGTGTCCTGGAGGAGCTCATTAGTCAGCCCAACAATTTGCCGGGAACTCGTTATGAGCACAACAAAAGAAAACCCCACTTGCCTATTAGCAGTCGATTGACGTCGCGTGTCTTTAACTTGACAAACAGTCTGAGTCACTTGAGCGAAGAGAACTACTTCAGGGACAAAGGCAAAGACGTCCTGTACGACGCAGTGCCATTTATACCTCGCAACGACTACCCTGACGGCGCATTCGACTGTTCCTCCTCTTCTCGATCTTCCACTCCGACCAGTCTGGACGAAGCATCACTGCCCAAGCTGGACGACTCCAAGTGTCGTCTTCATTCAGTGGCCAACCTGCGACTGCTCTCACCCCCCTCCCATCACGCCAAACTTCTCCTCAACTCCACTAGTCATGCTTCCCTGATGAGCGACGAATCCTCCCTTTCATCGTCGCACCAAACTGAATGCGACGATTCACTTCGTTCCTGTTCCTGTTCGCCGGTGGAGCACTGGGCCAAGCAGACAGCCGGTCAGAATCGTCTCTCCTCCCTGTCGCAGTCTTCCTGGGAAGACGGCTCAGCGCTGCATGATGTCACCTAATATGTGTTTACAGCCTGTTAATAATATTCTCTTTTCAATGAATTGAATCTCATTTTCTCTTCACTTTGAAGCAATTATTTATATATTTTGATACATAATAAAGTATTATTTGTTCGATTGTTCATCCTGAGCATTTGCGTCTTTTTGCGCTGCCAATCGCCATCGAGAGGTCGTCGTAGTGCCGAGCTAGGCTGTCCCCTATGTTTGTGCGAGCGCCTGAAAGAGAGCGCTGAACCTCTGTGTGCTCTCCTCTGGCCAGGTGAGGGTAGAGGACAAAGCAGTGGATTAGTGGCAACAGTCAACAGTGCAGATGAACGGTCAACTGACAGACCTACATTGAGAAGTGTAAGTTAGTTCAGTTTTGAGCAGCGTTGTGAAACTGAAATCTCCGCCACCCGTTTCAGATCAGCGGCTGCTAGCTTCTCTGCAGCAGTGTTTCAGTTCTTAACTGGCAGAATCGGCGCACTGTGTGCACCGAGTGCACTTGCATCTCTCCCGGGTGCTGTGCCTACCAGGCAGACACTGCTTCACTGCAATCAACCAAACGCATGCTCCTGCTGCTTCCAATTCTCCGAGAATCTTTTTGTTGGATTCAGCACAATTGTTGTCGTGAAGAATGAGCTCAAGCTGAGAGTGAGAGTGAAGAGTGCCAGAGACTATGCACTTCTTCAGCTTTGTCTGATGACTGGTGCTCCTCTTGGTACGGCTCCAAACAACGGCGACCGCTACTCACACAATCAGTCGGCTACGTTTTTGAGTTTTACTGATGGAGAACGACAACAACAAGACAGTTCGCTTTGCCCATTAGCATCGAAGCAGAAGAATTAAGAGTGTAGTACAACTGGCACCGTTCGGCAGGACTATTGCATCGTCGTGAAGTACTGCACACTGCTCATTATTTTCTCATCTAACCAGACGTAGACAGAACTTCCGTCATGTACCGTTCATTCTAAGTCACGTTCTCTCGTCAAATTTTACGAGTAGACAGCAGCAGCAGCATATCGAGCGTTGCACTATGCGAATCAGAAAGAGCCGCTACCTGGCGCTGGAAGATGTCTTTGACGCACGCATTCCCAGATCGGAAGATGAGTTCAGGATGGGCATTGTTTTTGCCGCCAAGGTAACCTTTAATGATCACAAATGGTAATCACTCACTCACTGTTCACTTGCCAGTTTGTCGGCAGCGGCAATATCGATAAACCACGCTCTAGAATGGAGATCATCGCCTCGATGAGGCGAATCAGATCAGAGTGCAAAAGCCGAAAGGATAAGAAGAACAAGGTAAAAATCACCGTCTCCAATGAAGGCGTCAAAGTGTCACTGGCCTCAGGCAAAAAGACCAACTCAACATTTTTTTTTCATCCGATTTTTAGGTAAGGACCAGGTTAGTTTTACCCTACTGACTAAAGCTTTTGTCTCGTTAGAATATTCTACGTATCGCACGATTCTTTGGACTTGCATGTGTTTTCTTATATTGTCCGACAAGAAAATATTTTCAAATGTTTTGTTTTCAAAGCAGCAAAACAGGTCTGTACAAGCACTTGCAAATATTCATTACAAAAACCTGAAATAATTTTGTTCAATTTTACAGTCATTGGCAATAAATATTGTGAGAACAGTCGGTCAGGCATTTGAGATTTGCCATTTGGCAACATTGGCCATGAATGAAGCCACCATAAACAGTTCAGCTGTGGAACAACTCAATGTCAATTCTACTCCAGTGACAATGAAGGAATCAGATGCCGATTACACAAACTGTCGAGTTGAGAAGTACGATGCCTCACTGGTGAACAGTCTTTCTCAAGGTTTCAGCACTGATATGCAAATGCTGCAGAGAGTAGACTCCAAACTAGACAAACTTGCCGATAAAGTGGAGTTGCTGGAGAAGCAGATTACTATTCTGCTGAAGAATATGGACGTCAAGAATGCCGATCACAATGACAGCAGTGACGAGAGCAGTGGCAAGTCGAGCTGTCATGATATTAACGAAACGAGCAAAGCAAAGCTGCTCAAATACCTTGATCAGAGCGCTGCGGATAAGTTGGAAAGCAAAAGTGAAAAGCTGTCTTACCTTCTGTCACCCGATTCTCTTCTCTCCAGTCCAATTTTACATCCTCCCAATAACGGTTCTTGCCTTTTATTTAACGATTTGTACTGATTATTACTACTTGTTATACTCATGTTATTGCTGTCTCTTTGTTTACTCTTTTACAAAAGAATCTTTGAGTCAAAAATTGACATAAAACTTGTTCCGCTTCAAACTGGAAAAACTAAAAAATTGAATTTGAATTCGACTATTTCTACGTGCAGAGTAATTTGAAGAAGGCACAGAAAACCAAACAAACAAAAAGAATTTTTGACAGTGAATGAATATTTTTGGTCATGATGGATCCCAATTTGATGCAGCGCCGGTTGCAAACTGGTTCCGTACTGCAAAATGAATTTTTACTTCAAGGAAGCATTTTGGATGAGGCCAAGGATGCGTTGTTGCACAAATTGCGCGGTTTTTGTGATCACTCTGACTTGCCGCCGCAAAAATTCCAAGATCACGAGATGGTGTATGTTATAAGTGAG